TCATTAACAAATCACCCATGGTTGTTAAGCAAGACATAATATGACCACAATTTGTGACTTCCTTCCAGCTTCCCCATTGACTTGATTTTTGCCTGGTTGGGAAGGTCACAAATAGTAATCAGCTGCCATGGTTGGAAATCCAGACTGGCTGCCAACATCCAGATTGCTATCCTATGATTTCAGGGAGCAATAGAATGATTCTAAGTGTGAGGACTGGTTGTAAGTCATTTTTCTATACTGTCATAATTTGAACAGTTGTTAAACAAATAATAAATAAGCGAAGATCTCCTGTAAAAGTTTTAGGGCTTCACAATATCTAGCTAATGTCATGTCTAAGGTATAAGATATGTGAGCATTCCAGGAATTACATCCACTGCAAATCAGACCTCTGAGGCAATCCGATTCCTCAAAGAACAATTTTTATTGGAAATACCATCCTGCTACAATCTGGTGAAAAGCCAGTTCTGAATCTTCCTGGGCTTTTCACAACCTTAAAAGAAAAAGTTTCCAGTCTTTTCAAAACAATAAATCACATTGTTCAATCTGAATACTAGCTGGTTGCTTGGTTACAACTCTCTCCTCCTCCTGGGGTTGGCCAGCTGCTGGAATGCCTCTGATTTACCAGAGAGCTATTCTATTTTGTCTACCAAATTCCTTCTATTACTCCCCCCTTCATCTCCATACTGTGTCAGCCCAAAATTTAGCTACGGGCCTGACAAGATATTTAATAGTTAAATAGTCTACTTTGATTGGAACTTTGTTTTGATGTATATATTTATAAATCTTCACGTTTTTCCAAAGTGGGCCATAATCATGTTTTGTTGCTGACTTGTTTGTCAACTGACTTTTGTTGATCAGAACTTTTCTGTTTTCTAGGTGCACAACAGCAGATCATCTGCAATGAATCCTTCATGCTACAGAACTTGCCAGTGTGTGGAAAATCCTTTGAAGAGATGATGCACAAAGTGGATTCTACAAAATGGTGCAATCTTACAGAGTTTATACTGTAAGCTTCTGACTGAATTTATATAGTAAGATTTATAATTTGATGTGGGAAAATACTCGCTATCAAAAATGATTATAATATAGCCTTAATTGCACAAAGCACAAGCTATTAGAATGTGTGGAACTTCTAGATGCAATAACAATAGCAATAGCTCTTACACTTATATAAAAGTGTGGTTTACAAACTCAACATATTTCCACCAACAATCTGGGTCCTCATTTTACTGACCTCAGAAAGATAGAAGACTGAGTCAACTCTGAGCCAGTCAGGATCAAACTTCAGGCTATGGGCAGAGTTAGCCTGCAGTACTGCATTCTAACCACTGTACTACCACAACTCTACCACATGTCTGCTCAGAGATAAGCCCCTTTGACTATAGCTTAGGAACTGTTGAAGGAACTATAGCACTAGTTCTGGCATATCTGCTCAGCAGTTTTCTATTCAGCTGTTCCCTTTTCCTGACTTATGAACCTATAGCAAAACCTCTCCATTATGTACAACCATTCTGTATTATATTTTGGGTTTTGGTTAAATTTAACAAGAAATGGTATATGCTAATACTTTAAGGAACAATACAAATGATCAGAATTTTCAGAAGAATAGCCTGAATAAATAGTTGGAAACTGGCTTACCATTGCATATGGATCTGATTTACCAAAGTTTATCTGACTTCAGCTACAACCAGAGGGACTTATCTCTGAGTCACCTCTTTCCTGTAATAATTCTCTCATATTTTTAAGTTCCATTTTTTTATTCTCAAAGAGATATCATCATTACACACTCTTATATTTTAGGATTGTTAAAGTCCACAAAGAAAAACACGTTTACTTTCCTTCTTTCTTCTTTCAGTTTTCTAAAGTTCTCAGTTATTCCAGCCCAGGGTCTATACCAAAAACATCAATCAATCCCACAGTCAGTCTTTCCTTGCTTTTTCCTTTATTCTGGTTCTGCTTTCACTTTCTAAGATTCTTCGTTTCAATATTTCTTTAATGTTATATCCATCCAAGTTCAAGTTTCCGTTTTGTTTGAGCTCAAGTTTTTGTCAAAAGGTGGCACTCTCTATTATACAAAGTCTTCACCTTTTTCCCCTATTTTTTTATTTAGGATTTTTTGAACTTCAATATTCCAGCACAGTCCAGTCTCCAATTTGTAAACTTTATTATTATTATTTTTTGACAATCTTAAGTCCAGCTTTATTTTATGCCTGTTTATTGCCAAAATATTTTAGTCCAATTTAGTTAAATCTTTAGTTCCAGCTTCTTCCTTTCCCGGTTCGAAGCCCCACTTAGCTGTCAAAAATATATATATTTTTTTTCCTGTCCCTTTGTAATTTTGCTGTTCACTTTTCTTTTCTTAAAAATTCCATATTACCTTAATCCCAGGGTACTTTTGTTTAGTCGTATTGCCCAGTTGTCCTGGTTCAGATGTTATCCACCTCTTTCTTCCCTCCTGCACAAATCTTAATCCAGCTGAATCCTCCTCTTCGGGGTGGCTATTTTAAACCACCGCTGCAGTCATCTTTGGTGGGAAAAAGACCAAGCCCAGTTGGGGAGATGTGGCTCCCCTCAACCTGGCTTGTGCCTTCCCTTTACTCCGCCGCCCCTCCAAGGCAGCTTCAGCCTCTAATCATAATGATCGGGGCTCTCCAACGAAAGACCATGGACCATAGCCGCAGAGAGTCACGATCTATGGTCTGTCAGTGAGGAGGCTCCGCCTTCTTCCTGAATTTGGACATAGTTTTTTGTGCTATCTATTAGGAACAGATCCAAAACCTTTAATGAAAGAGCGTTATTAGGCTCCTAGAGATCTTTGATGGATTAATTGTAAGTAGGAAGCAAAGAGATTCAACTGACCAACTTTTGGTAAGATAAGAATTGGAAAAATGAGCTTGAACACCAAAAGCAATAAAAGAGACTGTAATAAAATATGTGCCATTGGCTCAGCAGCAGTCTACTAAAAGAATATTATTAAATCAACATCAAGGTGTGGAACTAAATCTTACACTATGTATGGCAGAAGATGGTTTATAAAAGTTATTGAAATAGTAGTGGGAAATTTAATTTATTATCCTGTATATCCAGACCAAGGAATCTGTTTAATTTCTTGCAGAGTTCTATGAAAGTTGAGTAGTATTTGAAAACCAGATTGAGGTCACAGAAAAAAGATCTTTTTCCAAGAGGAAATGAATCTATATGTTAAAGTGAGTTGAACCAGTAACTTTCCTCCAAGTTTTCTCTCAAGAAAATTTTTACAAAGTTCTAGCCAAAGTTGCAACCAAGAAAATGCATTTAGGGTAGAGTAAGGAACTCTGGAAAAATTCTACTGATATTGATTGAATTGCTTCTATGTATGATGAATCACAGAATAAAAATAAGCACAAAGTTGACTCCAAGTAACAGTAAGCCCAGCAATTTGCATTAAATATTTAAAGTAAAGATTAAACTACAGCTGATAAATTTGATGTGCTGGCAGACTTTGGAAGCCAGCCTATATGATATACACAGAAGACTGAAAGAAATTTATGCATTTAAATCCCTTTACCTATTTGACTGGGAAGTTGATAATTTTCCTCTTATACTAGTAGTATCTCTTCATGAAAACTAAGAAAAAAAGTACGAATAGATCTTAATGAAGTTTGCTTAATTGATTTATAGGGTAACTCTGGGTGACTTACATTTACATGTAATTTAAAAGATAAAAAGTTAAGAACAAACATTAAAACCAAAGACACATGGCAGAGGGCAGGGGCGGAGTGTGGGGGAGGTGGGATCTTTTATTACTGAATCAACGACCTCCATTGCACTTAAGGCCTCCACTGGGGCCTTAAGCCAGCTGGCAAAACAACATCTTTAGGACATTACGAAAAGATAGGAGGACTGGGGGTAAGGTGTTCCAGAGGGCAGGAGCAACAGCAGAGAAGGCCCTCCTCATGGACACTGCCAATGAAAATAATTGGGCTGATGGGACCTTTAGCATGCATCCACTGATGGCCAGAGTGGTACGGGCCAATCCCAGTGGCATGAGACAGTCCCTCAAGTAATTTAGACCCATGCCATAAAGAGCTTTAAAAGTGATCACCGACACGTTGAATTGCACCTGTAAGCAGATTGGTAACCAAGGCAGCTCATGAAATAGTGATGTGACAGGTGCTATTCTTGTGCCCCCGCCAATAACTATGCTGCTACACTCTGCACCAACTGTAGCTTCTGAATGGTCTTTAAGGGTAGCCCCATGTAGAGTGCATTACAATAGTTCAGTCATGAGAGACTGAAGTCATGAGTCATTAGAGACTGAACAATTGAGCACAGGGAATCCTTATCCAGGAAAGGCCACAAATGGAGCACAACACAAAGTTGTGCTCCAGTGGTCAAACAGGAATCATAAGCCCAGGAGAACCCCCAAGTTGCAGACCAGATCTTTCTGGAGCAGTACCACCCCATCCAGAGTCATAGATGACAAAGTCCCAGATCCTGGAGCCCTGTGTATCCAAAGCCATTCAGTCATATCAAGGTTCAGTTGAAATATGTTCTCCCTCATTTAGGCCTCCCCAGCCTCCAGGCATTGTGTGGGCAGCAGCCACAGCATCACTTGGGTAACCAAGAGTGGAAATATATAGTGTACAATATATACCTCGACCTGTGGTGATGGATGATCTCACCCAGCATGTTCATATGGTGTTGAATAAAAGAGTGGAGAAAGTACTGAGCCCTACAGTATACTACAGAGTAGCAGCTGAGGGCTGTACCTCTCACTCCCTATCAATACTGATTTATAGGGAGAAAGGAGCTAAGCCAGCGCAGAACTGTGCCATCCATCTCCATCCCCTGTACCAAAAGGATATCATGGCCAATGGTATTGAAAGTATCTGAGAGGTCAAGGAGAGTAAGAATGGCTCCACTAGCCTATGTCACTTTTGCCAGAGATCACCAACAAGCATGACCAATGCCGTTTCCATCCCATAACTATGAATTCTGACTAAAAGGTGTCCAGATAGTCTATTTCATCCAGGATCCTTTGCAACTGCCAGGTCACCACCTTTTCATTGATTGATTGATTAGCCCTTGGGCCATATCAAAGTGCAGAGTTCTAAAACAAATTATTACTAAAATTTGATAAAAGCAATTTAAAATGGAATTGGAATAAAATATGAATTAAAATGAAATATGATATATTTTTTTTATTTTGAATATAAATAATACAATCGTAATACATATAAATCTAAATACAAAAAAGGAAAAAAATACAAATAGTACAGAGCACTGCCCTGAAACCTCCCCCCCCCTTATATTTCTTAAATAACTTAAACAATTTAAAGATATACAATATATTCCAATTGTGCCCTTACCCTTCCAAAACAACATATATTCTTGAGTAGGTTTATTCCCTTTGCCTTCCACCAACACTGGTTTTATAAAATCCTCCCATATTTCATTATACAGTAATTGTTTACTTTAATCATCTCTTTTAAAAATTTAATTTCTATTGTTAACTTATCATTTGTTTCCATACTCCCAATTTCATTATACCATTCATTTCTTTAAATATCCCAATTTCATCTCCAATATTTAGCCATCACTAATCTAGCTGCCACTATCAAATTTACAATCAATTCCTTTTTCATTTCACCAGCAACAGTAATGTGATCCTTGGTGACATATCTAAATTTACATTCAAAGTGCTCTAATTTCCCTAAAAACCATGTCCCATACTTTTTGTGCACTATCATAATCCCACCTCATATCTTTATATGTTCCAACCTCTTTCTCACACTTCCAACAAATATTTGTATATTTAATATCTATTTGATTTAATTTACATAGTGTTAAGTACCAGCTCCATATCACTTCATATCCATTTTCCTTAACTGTAACTGACATATTCTTACATACTTTTCTATTCCAAATATTTTTCCAGTCATTATCATATATTTCTCCTAAATCTGATTCCCAAATTAATTTTAAATCTTTTGTCTGCTCTTCTAATTCAGTTAATATTCTATA